GGTTATTCACAGTTCAACATAAATATCTACTTGCCATGTTTAATTTATAAGGTCAACTGAAGGTAAAATCCATATAGTTCAAGCTTTTTTCAAGCTTTTTGGTAGGAATTAAAAATTACACTCAGATTACCTCATGATTGCTTCATTATTGAACATTAGCCCACCACAAATGACTTGCACTAACTGAGGATTCTTATATTTGCAGTTATTTTCTTCTAAAGCAATAAACACTAGCTCTTATACAGTACATATGAGCACACTACATTAATTAAAGTTTAACACATGCTGAACTTCATCTAAGCACTGAGATGAGAATACTACCAAGTACCTTAGTCTTTAAGATACGAAATTGTTTCAAAGCTCGAGAATCGAGATCTGTGGTAATAAATGCACCCTAGGGATGGTCGATATAAATGCACATGGAAATACCACTCAATGAAGACACAATACAGTTTTACGGCTGCAGCACTGAGACCCAGGGCCCGACTGCTGGATTTCCAACTCTAATTCTACTTGCGCAAATGTGAATTTGTGACTTAACTTCGCTGTGCCTCAGTTTGCTCACTTTTTTTTTTTTTGTCTTTTTTTGAGACAGGGTCTCGCTATGCAGTTCAGGCTAGCCTTGAGCTCACTCTGTAGCCCAGGCTGATCTCGAACTCACAATGATCCTCCTGCCTCAGCCTCCCAAGTGCTGGGATTACAGGCATCCATCACTATGCTTACCTTCATTAACTATTTTTTTCGAGACTTTATTTTTTTTTTTGAGACAGGGTCACATTATGTAGCCCAGGCTGGCCTTTCAAACTCACATCAATCCTCCTGCCTCAGCCTCTCAAGGGTGGGGATTACAGGCATGAACCACACCCGGTCACTCTGCTCACTTTTTAAATGAAGATAAGTGCAACATGGAACCCTCACCTAGAACCTGGTAAGAAAGTGTGCCCCAAACTCTGGTAAGGGCGTTCAGGAAGTCTTGCTGCGGGGACGCAGATTAGAGTCGAGCCACTGTGGCTACCTTCACAGTTACATCCATCCCTGTTCTCAGTGACGTCCAAAGTCAAGCGAGACCAGCGAACCCCACAATGTGTCTATACACATTTGAGACTGATCGGAATTCCTTCTTCCTCCACTCAAGTCAGGGCCAACAGAAGCTCCTGTCACTTACCCTACGGCCTAAGGAAAAGCTTAGAATCTGAATTTGTTTCTACTCTCCTCCTTCCTTTGCCCCAATCTAAGATGCCTTTTGAATTTCCCCACTTTGGCTATGTGACTGACTTCTAGACCTCTGTAGCAGCAGGGTTCCTTCACTTCCAGTAGCAAATGGAGCTCTGTTCTTCACTCAGCTATAGGACACCCCTCAGCCCTTGGTACCCCAGGCCAGACAAGGCAGCCGTGCTGTCTTTCTGGGGGCGGCTCGAGACCCTTTATCTGCTCACTCACGTTTTCCTGAACTTCAGCTTGAGTTATGGGAAGAGCAGACTTCTGGTCAATAATCCACAACTAAGTAACTCACATGCGACTCCTCAAGAGCTGGCTGCATTTCAGAACGTGATTTCACAGGTAAGTGTAGACTCCACTGAACAAAGACATCCACTTACTAACTTTCTGATCTAACTAGACTGTTAAAAATGGAGACCATGCAAATAACCGTAGCACAGCACCTTCTTTGGGGATGGCATCAGAAGTTTTGCATTTATTTTCTAAATGGGATGATGGTTAATAATCTCATTTCCACAATAATATAACATTTCCTACTCCCTCACACATTAATTCACTTAATCCACACAACCCTCAGCATTTCTGTTCCTGTTTGCCTAAGCATCCTTGAGGCAGACGTGCAGAATTCCACCAGGCTCTTCACAAAGTTCCTATTTTTCTTGAAATTATGCCTTTCGTGAGGAACGTGGTTAACTGAAACGCACACCGCGCAGCCCAAGCCCCAGCTCCTGGCGCTGCTAACGCAAGTCCTGTGCCACCTGGCGTCCCTGCTCTGACACTTTCTCCCCATGGCCAAAATGTCCACAGCGGTCCTCACTCCACATCTGCTAAGTGGCAGGGCAGACACTGCACCCCAATCGATTCTTTCAGGGTGCACTGATCCCCGGGGTAGCTGGGAATGTGGCCTTCTGCAGCTTCTGCACAACCTTTGTCTGGCCTTGCAGAAAATATTCCTGAACTCTGGGATTTATTACCTAATTACAACAAGGGACGGCATGGCCAGTGAATTAACTTGCCCTACACCAAACTATAAGCCGAGTTTACCTGTCACCTAAATGTCACAGTGGCCAACAGTCTCATAAGCCGTGACAAACGACGCGGATGTGTGCTGTCCCTCTGCCAGTGAGTGGACTGAGACCGGCTCTGTGGGCCCTCAGCTCGAGAGCCCCCATTTCCCCGGTGTCGCTGTGCAGGCAGCAAGCGGAGCCCTGTGTGCGAACCAGAGTACCGTTTAGGGAATACTCGCCTCAGCTCTCCAAGAAACACAAAGGGAAGAACAACCTAACATTTTCGCAGCAAAATTATTTTATATAATTTGTGCAGAAATCAGTGTGCTGATGATTGTCAGGAAAAAAGAACACCCTAGAATTTCAAAAGGAAAATAAAACTACACACACACAGGAACCCACACATACAGAAACGCAACAGAGAAAAAGCACCCCACAGTCAGAACCGCCTATGAGGCGTACACAAATGCGAAGTCAGACTGTCGAGGGGTTTCCTGCTAAGGAGAGGCAAAGCTGTCCAGGGCAGCAAGCTCCACTTTCCGACCTTCGCTGAGGCTTCAATCTGAAGGTCCTTTCTGCTAGAACACTGCAATATTCAGAACATAAAACTTGCAGGTAATGTCACCGGAGAGAGTAAGCGCCAACACTGGCTTAGAAACACTGACTAGACAAGAATGCAAATACAGAGCCTGGTGTACGGCACATGCCTGCACACGCCTATAACGCTTGGGAGGCTGAGGCAGGAGGACTGCAAGTTCAAGTCCGGTTGAGACTACATAAAGAATTCAAGGCCAAGGCCAGCTTGGACTACATAGCAACACTATATCTCAAAAAACTATAAAAACAAATGCATATATAGAGAGAGAGAGAGAAAGAGAGAGATAAAGAGAGGGAGAGATATATATGTCAATGATAATGGAAAAGTAGATGACTATCTTAGACTGCATCTGAAAGGTGGTAAGTTAAATCTGAAGTGTTAAAAAGGTTAACAAACTCCCACTGAGTCTGATCGTGTAATTTCAGCTCATCTGGGGGAGCTAAACTTCATTCCATCATTCTGCAAATATTTATTAGTCAATATTGCCAGGTACTAAGGCTAAAAAAAGGGAAGAAAAAAGAAATAGCTGCTGCCATTTCCTTTATATGCTTTAATATCCACTACTACCCAAACTTGCAGAATTCTATAGTACTGATATTTCTTGACATAAAAGAGAGGGCTATTTGGTACAGGCATATGCCAGCAAAAATGAAATAGATATCATTTATTTTAGTAATTCTGAGTTGCACTACCAAAATATGGAATTCAGTGTTCTTACATAATGCTCAAAATGGTTTTCTTTTTGTCTATTCCCGATTGCCTTATTATATTTTAAAAAATTGATGTTTATGCCAGTTGGCCCCTTACATGCTTTGATGAAGTACATTTTGCTTTATTAAACCACAGTGTCCAGGCAGCACTAAAATATTAAAATACAAGGCCAGGTATGGTGGTGCACACCTGTAATCCCAGCACTCAGGAAGCTGAGGCAGGAGGATCGTTGCTAGTTCAAGGCCAGGGGCTGGGGATTTAGCTCAGTGGCAAAAGCGCCTGCCTGGCAAGCGCAAGGTCATGAGTTCGGTTCCCAGTA